GCCGCTGAGACTTAGCTTTTGTCAACAACTCAGAGGCGGAAGTGATAAAAATAAAATATAAATTAACGAAGCTTCGAGGCAGGTCAATTTTCCTCGAGGAATTTTAGTAATCGAGGTACTCGAATCATTCGAGGAATCGTTTCAGCCCTAGTCAAAGCCTTAATAAGAGTCTGAGTCACTCACCAGCCCAGTTTCTGCAACATAAGTAGGTAAACCACTGACAAGAGCCCAGTGGTCATCTGGAGGATTCCTGGGGATGAAAAATATGAAAAATAAAAGATATTTAATAAAAATGTCACTATAGAGGAAAAAAAACAGTTTTAAACGTTATGGTTAGTTCACAGTGGTCATTTTTTATTGTAAGACCCGTAATATTGTCTGTTGTTTCTTCTAAATGCCTCAGAAATAATTGTGTCTATAGACAGGCCTCATCCCTGAACAAACAGCTTTCAGTATCTGGTTTTTGAAAAATTCGGATCAGCAAGTTTAGTGTCCTTATTTAATAAAAAAAAAAAAAAAAAAACATGTCCGTTGATTAGACATTTCAAATTTAAACAGAAATGACCTTATTTTATTTCAGTTTAGACCACATGCTGTCAGATAGGTGTAGGATCACAGCCTATATTGCATTTCTTTCATCTTTCCAAACTCTTCACTCTTTGCTCTTCGCTGACTATTTGCTGCATCTCAAACCTAAATCAGTGTCATGACTTACGGAATGACTTTAATGTCTTCTTTCCCATGGAGGATATAGTCGATCACTTTGTAGAAGATAATTTCCTGAGGAAGAAACAAAGAATTTCCCAAGACACTTTATTACATGTAGTGAGTGTGAACACATAGATCAAACCATTCACCTGCAAGAACTGCAAAGTTCTTTCAACGTATCACAGATACAACAGATACATCTCTCATTTCTTAATGTGTTAAACTTTCAAGCATTGTAAAATGTAGACAGAAGTCCCACTCTGATTGGCTGATCAATTTGCTAAGATGACTCCTCCCAGAAACTACTGGCAGCTGTTTTGTGAGGTTTACACATAGACGAACTGGACCAGGACATTGAATGGCTCCTTAGGCCTTATTAACTTGTTAGACTCAGTTAAAGTAAACATTTTTATTTTTATTGTCTCCCCATTTGGAATCTAAAGTGAGGGACATCTGTACTTTATAAAGCCAGAACCACAATCTCACTATTCCCCCCACCCTCTCAACCAACAGAGCTGCTGTTGTAGCTAAATTTGTAGTGATGCTAAATTCATTCTAATCTGAAAAATATATTGAAATCAGTGATGAAAGAGTGGTTTGTTTAATGTAAATTAGTATAGTTTAATAGATGATTAAATGTTACATACAGAACAAATTCAATATTTTCCAAATGTTCCTGGCATAAAAAAGCTGTATTAGTGATACTTAGCAAAACATGAACAGGAACAGCAACACATATTCTATATATCACCCTTTAAGGTGCAGGATCAAGTCTGTTGCTGATATGTGCAATAATAACTGAATGATTAAGCAACAGTGTAAAGGTGAGCTCTACCAAGACTGATGCTGTAGAGTTAAGAGCCCTTGGAGATTTAGCAAAATCAAAATAGTTTTCAGGCCATGGATGCTTCACAGACCTCTGGAAAATCTGTCACCTTTTTTCTGAAACCTTAAAATGATAAAAGATGTAAAATATGGAACTGGCTCGGTAGATGTTGAAAGGTTTTCTCAAGAGAAGGTGTGACATTCAGAATAAAAAGTAAAGGAAAAGTATTTGTAGTTGCTATCTTTCATACTTACCCTGCCATCGGGAGTTTTGGGTCCATCGTATGGTGGAACTTCTCCCATCAGTACCGGCCACAAGTCAAAGAACTCCTGCAGGCAGACACACAATGAAAAAAAGGGATTTAAACATGAGCAAAAACAGATGATCCTCTGGGTTAGTTCTTATTATTTGGATGCACTTAAATCTTTGTGTACACAAAACTGCATTGCTTTACAAGGATGCAAAAAAATAATTCTGTTTAAAGCACTTAAAGATGTTTCTGTTCTTATTTATTCTGGTTCAGTGATGAAGTTTCAGGACTGAACCATCTGTGCAGTCAGAAGTGTGTTTGTTCGCATTAAGCAGGTGTTTGGAATAAACTGGCAGCAGCTTGTAATAAGTGAGAGGCAATGCAAACAAGTAACATAATGTATTGGTTATCAGAAATAAACAATGAAGTCCACTGAACATTTAAGCAGATTTAGAGTTGTAGATTGGATAGGAAAAAAAATCACCTCCCGAAAGTTAAAATAAATATAGGAATGGAACAGAAAGGATTAGTATTATATAAAAGCAACAACATGTTGGTATATCCCAGCATATCAATCCAAAGACACTGTATATTGCTTCACATAGGTAAACTTTGATACATAAGTCCAAATGACTTGACTTCTTCGTTCCGACTTTAATATAGTTAATGTAGCTGTCTTTACAACTGGGAAAACTTAACATTAATATTAAACAGTTTCCCTGCGAAACTAACAGAATTTGACCTTTGCTTAACTTTTTACAAACTGCTGTATTGAAAGCATTACATACTTATTGTGCTAAAAAAGTCCTGACTGGGCACGTTTGACATGCATGTGATGGGGAGGATTTTGCTTGGCCCATCTACTTTGCAAGCCTGAAATGTAACATTTTTGATCTAATAATCCTGGAGGATTAGAGAAAGGTTGAGAGAAAAAAAAGTTTATAAAACAGTTGATTGGGGATTTTTTGAAGATAAAAAGCTTGAATCTCCCTGAAAGTCCAGTTTATCCAGGGAAACTTGTCTTTTACCTACTATTTCTGACTAAATTTAGCCCCTTATTTTCTTATTTTGAAGGTTTTAATTAAACAAAAGATATATATTTTTTTATATCTGATCACAAAGAATTTATACCACTGTAATTGGCAAATATGACTTATAAACAACAGATTGGAAAGTTTTGAGTTTGTATTAGTGAAAACCTACCTTAGTCTTGGTCATGTCCAGCAGACCAACAGAGTAGCGGTCACAGTTCAGGAAAGCTCTCACTGTGTACAAGGCCTTGTGGAACTGCCTCTCTATGTCTGTCAGCTCCTCAAATACCTTGCTGGCTGACCACAGCAGTACCTGAATAATGAAATAAAAGAAGAGATGGATTTTTACCAGCTCATCTGCTGTTTTTCCATATACTGACTAATAATAATTTCAATATATATGACAAAAGTTTATCTCTATATGTGCGTATATGTGAAAAGATGGCAACTAGACTTCCTTTAGTTTTGTAGTCAGCTTGTTCAATCCATTATTTAAGCAGCTGAAACGTATCAAAATCTTCTTCATGATTCTTACCTGACCCCTCCTCGTCTCGCAGTTGTGCAAGTAGCTCAGGTGGTAAACTCTCAGCACCAGGTTAGCAAAGTTAAGATATTTGTTTAGAGTCTGGAAGAAATAAGAACAGGTGGAGCAGATCATGTTACAGTTTTATTTTGAGTTCAGTGTCACTGGTGTCCAGTCAACCACTAATGCCTGCACTCTTAACATTTTAAAAATAAAGATGGGAGAAAATGCTTTTGAAAAAATCAAAGAAAACCTTGAAAAGCACACATTTTCTAACTACATGACAGCAGTTCTCCTTTTTGCTTCAGAACATTTGTTTAACTGGCTATTTGTGCAGAGATGAAGACAGTTTACCTCCTCATCCTTGGCAGTGAAGCACGGTCCGTCCAATTTATTGACCGCCATCATGACCGCCACCATATCTTTACCATTCATAATGGGGATGGCGAGGACATTTTTGGTCTCATACTCAGTCAGTTCATCAACAAAATTACTGAAATGTGGACTCTAGGAGGAGACGCACACAAGAGATATTTTACTCCTTCAGTCTTAGGTCATTTAAGCTATAATGGTGGCAGCATAGTGTTGTGGAACATTATGCTGCCTCCTATAAATGCTACAAACTCAATTTACTCTGGGCTTCACTCCTCCTACACTTCCTCCTCTATAGCTACAGTCACCAAATAGGATAATAAAAAGGTTAGTTATGCATTCTCATCTGTACAGCTAAAGTATTACGGACAAATAGAACCTTTTAGTCAATGTATAATGCTTTTAAAAAGCTGAATGAAATGGCCAAAACAATTGGTGTTATGGATAGCTCTTTATGGAAGTATGTTTTGACAACTTAGTTACATTGAAAATCAATTTAAAACTAGATTTTTTTTACTGTAGAGTAGCCAGAGCGGTGTAGTGGAAAACAAAGAGATAAATTATTAGAAGGAAGTCTAGGATGATCTTGAATCAGCTTTGTAGAGGAAAGATTTTAACTTCTTCGAGTTTATCACAAAACACATTTCTGACAGGCAGTTTTTCAGCTTTGCCCAGATGATTCACATTAAAACATTTTCTGAATTGAATTACATTTTGAGACTGTGTTGGTGGAAAATCAAAGATAGACAGAAGCTATGCAGCATCTTTTTAAATTTAAAGTCAAGAGTCACATTTCTTCACTTAATCTTTACAAGGTAACCTTTTTAAATTCTGTAAAATTATCACAAATTCAAGTTATTTCCACAGCAAAAGACAATGATGAGAACAAGAGCAGAGCAGCCCACAGCAGTGTTATTGTGCTGAGTCGGGGAAAGTGGCTGAGGGCTTGTGTGACCTATGGGAATAATCTGGGATCGCTCTAATTCTGGACAGATTAACTTGCTCCATGTTCAGGTTCTCTGTCTTACTTCCTCAAAGGCACAAACACACAGACAGTTATTGAGTAACCACACCTTAAATTATGAATTAAATCCATCCTGTAAATGATGGGACTGTTAAATTCAGTTGTACGAGGGAAAGACAAATGATGATGGGAAATTTAGGACAGCGCTTAGTCACTCACTGCATAATCCCCACCTACGGTGCAGCACAGGCCTCTGCTAGATTGGATTGGGATGGAAATAGCATGCAGAGACAGTGACATCCAGTCTGTTACTAAAAAGCCATCCTTCATGCATTAGCAACATAAAGCCAATCAATTAAATAGAAACATTAGCTGCTCCTTTGTTGCCACTGGGAAAATTGAGCCTTTGATCGTTACAGTTTTCTTTTATCTGCTGATGTGAGGCTGTTACTTCACGGTCTGAGGTTTCGACCAGAATGAGGTTTGTTCTGTCATGACTCACAAGGAAAGGCACAACAGGCAGGCCTGGCAGCATGAAGTGCCAGATGAAAAAAAAATCAAAAAGGCAACAATTATCCCTGGTCTGTTGCTTTAATACATCACCAGCTGAGCTCTCTAAACTCATATGAAAGGACAAGATACAGAGAAGTGCTTGTAACGCATCAGTTAAGTTTTGCTTCATTATTACTAGTAAATGTCACAATAACACTTTGGGCAGGTGTGGGTGTAGTGGGTGGATGTGATGAGGATCTGTGGGAGCATGATGGGTACATAAGAAACAAAAAAAGCTTTGTGGATATTTTAAATGTCAAAGGTATTCACAGTAATGAGATTGAGCTGGCTTTGGTTAAATGAAAGTTAAGTCGGCGGAACGGTGGGATCTTGGCGCCCTCTGGTGGTCAAATAGAAATAAATATTCAACATGAACATTATAATTAAACTGTTTTATCAATCATACCAAAGATATTGAAGCATTATTAGATTATTTTTTTATCATACTGTACCAGAGTTGTATAGTTTATATTTGACAAAGTATGGATTTGAAAGTGACCATCAGAAAATCAATGAACCAAAGTTAAATTGGCCTACCTGTGTCACGTCTGGAATGTTCACCATCTTCTTGCTCGTGGCCACATGACCCACTATGCCCATATCTAGCGGGTATACAATTTCACTTTCAGGTTGCACCAGGCATTCATCATATATTGCATTTTTATGGACGTTGAATAATCTAAAAGGCACAGAGAAAACATTAGGACATATGTAATAAATGACGCAGTTGAGGGATGATTCTATATGCCTTTTGTTGCATTTAATTTCCTAATATATTTTTTGCTTGCTTACTTTTCTGTAAATAAATACTACCTTGTTTATGAATGACGATGTACAAATTAACTTGCCTTACCTTCATAATAAGCAAAAGGAAACTTAGTGTCAGAAATTGATTAAATTCACTAAATTAAAGACAAGTAATTAAGGCCTTGCTTTAAATGTGGGCCCTGAAGCACTGCAATTGATTAAACCCTCCACATTAGCACTAGCATATGTGTTGCTGTGCTGAATGCAAGTTAAAAAATCTGAGTGCATCTGGACATACAATAATCTACAACCTTAAACTTAGGTGTGGAAAACTTAAAATAAAACTGATCAGGAAACTAAACTTTACTTAAAAAACCTTTTTTACTGAGTTTTATCCTTTTGCTAAATATGGTTTGCAGGTACTCAAGCTTAACAGATCCAGCTAGCATCTACATAGCTGCTACAAAATGGAGCAGAGTATACATACTAAAAAAGTGCTGTTCAAAAAGAGCCATTAATAGTCGTTAATAAAAGCTTCAATGACCTTGTGGCGAGCTCAGCCACGCCGTTCCTCTGCCGGTACAGGAAGAGGCTCATACGGTCCGCCCTCATGATGAAGCTGAGGTGCTTCATGAGCTTGAAGATCGAACGCTCAGTCTGCAAGTTGTCCTGTATGTCCCGTACCAGGTCAAAAAGAATCTCACTCTCATCCACCATGGTCAGATCATGGTAGGTTTTGATGTCCAACACAGGCTGCCGGTTGCTGTCTAGCAGATCTGAGATTATTTGGGGCTTCAGATTCATGTCATAGTACTGTTTTGCGAATGCTGGGTTGGCATCCAGGAACTGCTCTGCTGCAGCTGCATCCACCATGGCTGCTGCTGTGAAATACAACAGAAGAAGAAAAAAACATTTCAACACACGTATTTATGACTACATGTGTGCCTGCATGTATTGGCAAGAAGCTATAGAAGCTAAAAAAATAAAATAAATAACAATCTTTTATTGCAATAGCTAAATCCCAAATTAAATTTTGAAAAAAATCAGACCTTGAGATTAGCAGTTCATGGATTCCTGGGTTATAAAAGGAGAAGAGAAGTGGATTTCTCTTATTCTTCAAATTAGGAAATACAAGAAAACATGGTATTGATGTAGAGTAGAACTTTGTTGATCCTCATAAACCAGTCAATATACACAACACAACTGCCACTCAGCTTATTTAACCCATGTCTGCAGTCAGACATTTAACTATTTCATCTTCCCACCACACATGAAGAATGGTAATGGAAGTAAAACACTCTCCAAAGCTCACTGTTAAGTTACAAAGAGTGGCCAAGCAGCCATAACAGTCATTAAAGACAATCTTTCTATCAGCTGGCTGAGAAGGCATGGCAAGAAAAGTCTTGCCTGTACCACCAAAACACATAAACATATGTAATCTGCAAAATACAAAGAACTTTAACTGGAATAGTGTTTGGGTGGGATGGCATTAAGATGTAGCTTTTTGGTGACAAGCACTCCAGGTGAGTTTGACATAGAACAAAGGATAAACATGTTAAAGAAGAAACATAATAAACATTAAATACATGATAAATAAGAAAGATTGCTCTAAGTACAATGGTCGTCCATTCCCTCTGTATGCTTTAACCTTGTAAAATATTACAGGAGGAGATTAAATACTGTTGGCAAAAAGGGGTTAGGGTTGTTCAACATATCAACAATAGAAGTTTCAGTAAGAGTAGCATATTTACAAAAAGAAGAATGATCAGAAAAATGTTAGTTTTTAATGTCAGTTGTCTTTGATTCAGCTATTTTCTATTTTAAGGTTTTTGTTCTTTGTTTATAAAGTATCTAATTTTCTTTACTGGATAATTTGTTGTTAAGGTTGGACAATATTACCTGAAAATACAAAAAAATAGACAAGTTGGAAATAACCACCTAATTTTAGAGGGCGTAGTAATATAGCATGCAGTAAGTACAATAAAAGTAGTTTTTTTTTAAATATCTCTACTGGAGTGAATGAATAAATCTCACTACTTTAAAAGAAAACAGTTAATTAGCTTTGTACCAGCATCTACTCACTTTGGTGCAGTTATATCTTACTACTAATGTTACTTAAAATAAAAAAATAAAAAAATATTAAAGTTATGACGTCAATACCAGCATTGTTAATCATAAGTATACCTCATGAGTGTAAATGACAATAGCAAATTAAAGGAAATATTTGTACCTGTTAAGTCCTTGTATTGTCCCCCAGTAAAGTGTTTAATCCCTCTGTACTCCTTACCAACCCAGGTGTAGGTGTCTGAGAAGAGAAAAGGGATTACAAGGATGGTTTAAATGGTCATGTGTGGACATAATCCTGCATCCAATTACAAGTATGCGGATTACAAAACCGACCAATGTTTAATAACAATATATAGGGAATTCGGCTGTCTTTCTCCAAAGAGATATGGGTATTGGACCTTATTAAAGAGACTTGAATTTGATAACTGCTGTAAAGTTTCTTGTTTAAATATGGAAAAATTACAAATCAAAAATGTTGTCAAATATAGATCAAGTTACTATGTTTTATATGCATGGCAGCAACGCTGTATTCTCATCTTTGGACTGTGCTATAACCACCAACCTCCACAGTTGTAATTCTGACTAAAAGCATTGTTCTTGTATTTTGTAATGCAAACTAAAATAATAATAATAATAATAATAATAATAATAATAATAATAATAATAATAATAATAATAATAATAATAATAATAATAAATAAATAAAATAAAAGCAGAAAGAGAAAAAAAGAGACAGAATAAAGAGCGATAGAGAGCGGGTCGAACTGTTCTGAATTTTGGGGATTTCTCTTTTTGTTTTCTATGCAATGCAATGCAGAGTGCCACGATATCCAAATCTAAAAAAGGAAGTCGGATGTCATGTAACTAAAAACACGTCAGGTTTCTAATACTTGACTTTTGATCCACTGTGCTTTTTTAGTGTCTGTTCCCAAATATAATATATATATATTTTTTTTCTTTTAATAGAAAAACTCAAAACTCATAATGTCGTTTTTTTTGAAAGACCTATGAAAAATAGTTTCAGTTCCGAAACTTCTTATAAATGTATTAAAATCGGTGCTACATTAACAACAAAGCTATTAATATATAGTGTAACATTAAATTTATAATACAAAAGTTGAGACACATCCTAGCCAAAACTAAGTCCATTTCTAACTTTTTTTTTTGTCCATTTTTAACTATCTGTTTCTAGCTGCAGATCATATGACGCAAACACGTTTTCTGAAGACGTCATGACGTACCACATTACAGTTAAACGTAAAATGAATCCGAGGCGGAATAAAATTCGACTTTTGGAAAGTAAAAGGAGAAAAACTTGTTCGTAACAGCGCTTCGTTCGGCGGAAGGTTAGTGAAATTTAACATTAACGTTTTCCTCTCTGAATTACGTCCGGTCACCTTAACTTACGTAAGTTGATTAAAGTTCCCTTCCATGTCCACGTTGACAATTTGTTTACAATGGTGCTCATTCATAGGACTCTGTTAGATGATTAAGAGAAAGAAAGCGACCCAAGCGATGCTATATCGATCTATTCAACGAAGTTGTTGAGACTGCTGGTGTAAATTTCGGCAACTTCCAAGTGGCAGTATATAAACATACTATAGACTTAGCACCAACACCATTGCTCTGCTTTTAACATTTTGAAAATACGAACTTTTACCTTGCCTGCCGTAGAAAGTATACAATATTATTTTTAACTACCAATAGTCATCTTTTATTCGGTCACATTTATGAGTTATAACTACACAGGAACGATAACCATGTTCTACTGTCACTTTCCTCATTCTTTGTCCTGACTTTGGTCCGTATGTTCGCCATTCAGGTTTTCTTGGTGTGTCGCTTTATGTGTAACCTGAACTGTAAGCATACGCAGCATATCTCATACGCATAAAAGAAACATGCTTTTAGATATGGACAAAATGTGAAGTCATGCTAGAGGGACTTCCGTGCTTTTCTATTGCACGGTGACTGTTATCAGGTTTAAGATAAGATGAATTGTAAAATACATTTATTAAACATGATATTATGAGAAAAGTATATTCTGATGTTATCATGGCAATGATAAGAGATAAGTACTATGACAAGAATTAAATGTGGTGGAGGCAGTGTGATACTTTGTGTATACTTCTACTAGGACCTTCCATTCATGTGGATGTTATTATGACGCTCTATCATGTCAATGCTACAACCTGAAAGCTTTAGCTTTATAGGAGGGATAATCCACTTAGCTTCAAAGAAAAAAAAAATGTTTCAGGAATCGTTTAAGGAGCACAACATCAACTTTGAGGTGTTAACTTGCATTTCCAGCTCCCCAAATCTCTAAAGAAGCGTCTTGTGAAATGTGCTTGACAAAAGTCTAATCTGCTTAAAGAAACTGCTAACATCCTGTTGCCACAGCAGACCTTTAGTTTGTAGACTTGCTTTCCCAGCAAAAGGGCGACTAAAACAGTATTAGGCAGGTGGTCATAATATCTGATTGGTTTTAATGTTTGATCACTGAAACTTGTCACTGCAGGAACCAAAGCTCAACATGCTAGATGGGGGCAACTGTTGCACAGCTGTGGAAGCTGACCCACAGCAGCCACTGATCCTGGAAAGAGCTGAGAAGGAACCTGAGAAGAAATGCATTACGGTTGTGTCAGATCGGGTGAAGAAGCACTGCTCATGCTCCCCGGAGAAGGTGAAATCCAAAATACTGAGCTTTGTCCCAATTCTGCAGTGGCTGCCCCGCTACAAGCTAAAGGACTGGATTCTGGGTGATATTATGTCAGGACTTATAGTTGGAATCCTGCTGGTTCCTCAGTCCATTGCCTACTCCTTACTGGCTAGTCAAGATCCTATATATGGTTTATACACCTCCTTCTTCTCATCTATCATTTATGCCATCCTGGGTTCCTCCAGACACATCTCAGTGGGGATATTTGGAGTGCTTTGCCTGCTTGTGGGTCAGGTTGTGGACAGAGAGTTGGCTGTTGCAGGATACCTCCCAGAAAGCAGCTTTGGCAGTAACAACAGTGATGCCTTGTTGGCTGGCCAGGGGAACAGCAGTAATGTAGAGTGTGATAGGAGCTGCTATGCGATCACAGTGGGAGCAACAGTCACCTTCACTGCTGGCATTTACCAGGTAAATTTAATATCTCACAGTTGTCCATAAAAATAAAGGTAGTTGTTAATGTGAAATTAGGCATATTTTAACCTATAGTTTTTAGTAAATGCTTACATATTCAAACATTTTATTAAAGTCAAACATCAGTTACTGCTTTACTTTTTAACTTGCCTGCTTTTTAATCTCTTTCTCTCAGGTTCTGATGGGCCTTTTGCAGGTAGGCTTTGTCTCTGTCTACCTGTCGGACTCCCTCCTCAGTGGCTTTGCAACAGGGGCCTCCCTGACCATCCTCACGTCCCAGATCAAGTACCTTCTGGGGCTGAATGTCCCCCGGGCGCATGGCTGGTTCACTTTGTTCAAGACCTGGTATAGTCTGCTCACCAACATGGCAGAAACCAATATCTGTGATCTAATCACAAGCCTGGTTTGCCTGGCAGTCCTGATTCCAGCAAAGGAACTGAATGATCGCTTTAAATCCAAGCTAAAGGTAAAAATACTAAGAGTTAGATTTGCATTTCTATTTGCATGTCTTAGACTGTTTAATCACTGAGAGAAATCTATACTCTTTTCTCCATAGTGAAGTAAAAGCTGCGATCCTGTCTGGGTTATGGTACACAAGCTACTCTCTTCTGCTATTTTCTTACATAATTAATGTGCTTATTGATATATTGCATGTTTCAGGCGCATGCTAATCTCAAAAGGTATTATAAGGGAGCATAAACGACTTGAAAAAATGGTCAAAAAAAAATTCCAAAGAATATTAACCCTACAATTGTGCATTCAGGAAAACATGAAAGTCATCCAAATGGATAATCAGACAGTATTGTGTCTATCAGGCACCACATAAATAATGTTACATTTTATGCACTGGGATTGCCACTCGGTGGTGCATATGGATCACTATCAGTGGCAAGGAGGCATGGCCTTTAGGATACAAGGCACTGCAAATCCATAAATAAACAACAGTAAAATAAAAATTATTTTGTTGCCATTTCTTTAAATAATCAGAAATGTTAATGTTGCTGGTAAGGAGCATTTAGGGACACTGAGAAAGTCATCACAATATTATAAAATCATGATAGATGTTTATTTTTCCCCCTTTCAATATGACAGAAATGTAAAAATATATATATTGTCTAAAAAGTTCTTCAATATGCAGTTTATTACCAGTCCCTCATTTATTAGCAACTTTCCTATTCAAATTCACTTGGTTTGCATTAAGTTTGAATTCTTGTCTTCAGTTTCTTCTTCTTGTTGATTCTGCATTTCACAGATTCGGACTTGGTCTGTAACGATAGAGGTGTTGATGTGACGGTCAAATTGTAGAAACTCTAGGTTGTCTATGTCGGTGTGTTTGTGCTATGAGCTTTCAGTTAGGAGCTGTAGTTGGTTGTGTTCCTGTGATGTTAGTTTATCTCAGATATGCTGCAACATAAAGTGCTTCACTTTGCACAGTTAAGTCCTGGTTTTTCTACAGCTTAAAATATCTGCAGTTACAACAGGAACCTGTCTGGACAACCCTCTGTTCCCCATGCTTCCTGTATCTGCTGTATGCTACTACTATTACGATGACTGACAGCTGTTATAGACAGTAAATATGATCTTGGCACTGAGAATTAAACTATGCAGACTGATCTCGATGCTCAGTGTTTTGGGAACTACATTTTTGTACTGACCTGACTTTTACAACGTTTAACTCACTGAAAGTTTTCAGTGAGTTGTTCAGTTCCTTTGGTGCAATTTCTGCCTAAGTCATTGCTTCATTGACTGTGACATTTATTTTATTATGCCCTCAATATTTTGGTTGATGCTTAGCATACATATGCTGAGAAACGGGTTTAGTGATTCAAGATGCACCTAAACACTAAACATGTTTGAAAAAGACTTATCGTAAGCATGATTCAGTTCAATGCATATAAACAAAGCCACACATTTGGCTCTAAATGTGAACTTTTTAATTTGATCATACATATATCATATATTTTACACCAGATTTATTTTACTGCTTTTTCTCTTTCCCAGGCTCCGATACCATTTGAGCTGTTTGTGGTTGTAATCGCAACCCTTGCCTCTCACTTCGGTCACTTCAACAGTAAATATGGTTCTGGAGTGGCTGGAGTCATCCCTACAGGCTTCGCCCCTCCTCAGCTACCAGCATGGACCCTCATCCCCAATGTGGCCGTGGACGCCTTTTCCATCGCCATCGTGGGATTTGCCATCACCGTCTCCTTATCCGAGATGTTCGCCAAGAAGCACGGCTACACGGTGGATGCCAACCAGGAAATGTATGCCATTGGCTTCTGCAACATCCTGCCTTCTTTCTTCCGCTGCTTCACGACCAGCGCTGCTTTGACGAAAACCCTCGTCAAGGAGTCGACGGGGTGTCAAACGCAGATGTCGGGCCTGGTCACGGCTGCTATTCTGCTGTTGGTTCTCCTGGTTATTGCTCCACTCTTTTACTCCCTTCAAAAGTAAGTGTGTCAGAATTTCTAGACACATTAAACATTTCTAGTTAATGTGATTTATTGTTTTTACATATGGATATCATATTTCACCTAAAAATTATGATCCTTGCAATCAAGGTAACATTAAGCATTCATTTGTCTGGAAAATGTGTGTTGAGGGACAATGCAGCTTAGGAAAAGTAAAATTTCTTTTTTTGTGTGTTTTCTCTCCATAGAGTGAAAATGCTTTGGTTGCTTTTAATCACATTTTTAGATTCCCCTAAAAACATGTTTTAAAAAAATACACACACTACAGGCACAGAGTATAAAACTTTAACATGACATAGTCATTTTAAAACGTTCCCAGTGTTTCAGGAAGCAGGAGGTTTACAACAGGATCTGCTTGTGTTTACATTTTGAAAAGAGTTTTCAAAGGTAGACTTTGACAAATACGGATAACCTCTGGTTATAGTTCCGATCCCATGTTGACTCGCCTGCTTCTCAGTCAGCTGGAGCTCTGCTCAGTACAAACCCCGGATACAGATGTTTTAACATAGCCATTCATTTACAACAATAAACAGGCAGTAAAATAAAGGAAAGTAGAAGCAAACCATCAATGAATACAAATTAACTCTCACATAAGGAGTCGCCCTGCATTAGTTTGCACACATATTTTGTCATGTTACAACCTTCGCCGTGCTTTTATGATTAAGCAACACATTTTCTTGTAAGTAAAAATCAGAAATATGTGGCATGCAGCCACATACTTTTCCAGTTTTTAAACAAACATCTTTTTAAGCAATTATCTTTTCTACAACTGCTATAAAATGAAAGGACGAAGCGATGAAATGGCAAAGCGTGCCCCTGAAATGGGGATACGAATCAGTGAAGACTGAACTCGCTTGAAACTGGACAGCAGTTTGACACCCCACACGTGTTTTTATGTGGTTGCCCGATCTTTTGCAATTGGCACATGTTTCACGCCTTTCCTCTTTCTCACACTGACTCACTTTGCACGCCAAACCCCCCTTGAAAGTTGGCAACCCTGGTTAATGCACACTGAGGTGAGCTGCTAAGGAGAGATATTCTGCTTAGTTCCGCTAGCAACTGCAATTTTTATCTAGCGTAGCAGATGAGCCAAAAGACTCTGAGGTGTTTTTTTTCTTCCTTATTCTGTCCAATGAAAACTGTTTTACATGAGGTTTTTCTCTCTTCTGCATTATACAGATGTGTTTTAGCAGTTATCATCGTGGTGAACCTACGTGGTGCTCTAAGAAAGTTCAGGGACGTTCCCCGGATGTGGCGCGTCAACAAAATCGATGCCTCGATCTGGCTGATCACCATGGCAACATCAGCGCTGGTCAACACAGAGCTCGGCCTCCTGGTTGGTGTTTTGGTGTCGGCCTTCTTCGTCCTCGGCCGGACCCAGCAAGCCCAGGTCCTGGAGCTGGGCCGCGCTGCCTCCAGGGAGCACTATGAGAACGTTTCATCCTACCGTGGCCTTCAGACACATTTTGGAGTGGCTGTATTCAGATACGGTGCTCCGATCTACTATGCCAACCAGAGCTTGTTCAAAAAATCTCTATACAAATGTGCAAATCTTAATCCTGTGAAGGAGAAGGCTCAGCGTTTGAAATTTGAAAAGAACAAAAAGCAGAAAGGCACTGAAGAGGGAGCAAAGGGGATGCCTGAAGACAAACAAAACAGGGAGAGTGAGGCTTCTTCATCCGTAATATTGATGCTGGACGAAAAATCTTCCAGAAGCGTATGCAGCTTGGTAATCGACTGCAGCGGCATCTTGTTTTTGGACACGGCAGGAGTGAACGCTCTGAAAGAGGTCCGCAAAGATTACAGAGAACTTGCGGTTGAAGTGGTCTTGGCCCAGTGTAATACTTCAGTACTGGATTCTCTGGAAAGAGGCGGTTACTATGACAGCAAAAAAGATGGTGAGGTAGGAAAAAACAACATGATATTCTTCACCATCGCGGATGCTGTCAGCTACGTCCAAAACCTTAATGTGCCAAATGGAGATTGTGATAACAAATCCTGAAGATGCAATAATCCATCCAAAGGTTCAGCACACAGCTAAACAGTAGCTCTTTGTCACCAACATGCCTTATAATTCTGCTGCTGCTGATGGAGGTTGGTGTTACAGGTGTAGATCAGAATTATTTATTTTACCTTCAGGGGTCAAATCAAACTTAGAGAAGAGTTACTGGAAACCTTAGTTATGATGTTACAATATAATCTTATTTTTCTATTTCGTAAGCAAACACACTGAAATGAATTGTTGAGTGTATTTTCCCTCCAACCGTTGGGAGAGGTCTAAAATTTATATTGATGTATTTTTATTTTGCTATGTCTGTCATGAAAATCTATTCAACCTTATTTTTATTCTACTTATTTTAAATCTAGTAGTGATGTTTTTTTCACATGGAATAGATTGGGGTTTTTTAGTGTTTCTAAATTTGACAGTTGCTTGCAAAGAGAATAAAAAACCCCAGAGGAAGATAATCATAAGTTAATAAAATCGCATCATCACTGCCTTCCTACTTTTTTAAAGAAAACATGCTTTGTACAAGAACCCTTCCTTATTAGTTGTCCTTCCAGTCAAACTACTTTTTGCCTTCATAAATAGAAAAGTGACAATACCAACAGGAAGTGTTTACTTTTGTCCATTGAGGAACAAAGTTTAACTTATTTCAGAAGCCAATCTGTATTACAAATTCTTCATTGTTTTTGTAGCAATCCTTATTTTATTTTTAGACGATCGTTTCATCACATACCTTTTCCACATTATGAAGCCATAATTCATGTCTGAGAACTCCTGTTTTATTCATCACATCAGTGCGCTTTTGTATTTGACTATTATGGTAAATGCTTCAAAGCATTCCTGATCAGAAATACTGTATGCTTGGCCTCATTATCTCAATAGACCTCAGTAATGCAGCCATCTAAAAATAAATGTAGGAAGTTAGGTGTTTATAAGTGCTCTGTTTTTTTGTTTCTTTTTTTTTTTTACAGGATTTTTATCCCCATTGAATAAATACACGTAAATTAAAGGTAAATGTTTTATACTAATGGTGAAAAGGAATTTAATTTAAGGCGTCTTGCGCAATTTTATCATGGAGGCAGTAAAACATATGGCTGCCTCCACTATTGGCAATGTCACTTAATGCTAGTGACATTATTGCTTAATGTCACTAGCATTAAGCAATAATTTAACAATATAGTCAGGTAGTCAAACATACATTATTACATTTCATGTTAGAGATGAAGGCTTGATTTTTGTTAGACTGGAGTAGGCTCTTGAGTAAACTTTAATTACCTATACTATACAGTTGTTTGAATCTGTGGGATTTGGACATTGAACTTTCTCCTGGTATTCTGCAGCACTGACAAAGTCAAATATTGCTTTAAGCCTGAACTGGTTTTCAAACGGTTACATTTGGTGGTGTAAATCTATCACAAAATGGCTCACAGCTGTTGAATTCGATCATAGTTTTAAATATGATCAAATTCATTCAAGCATTTATTAATGCTTTGCTAAAACCAAGAGACGAAAAAGTAGAGCCAACAGCAAAAGTAAGTTTTTGAGGTTTCCAAACACTGCTGAACAGGTCTTACTGTAACATGTAAAATATTCAGCTGAAGGTTAGTTGTAGTGAAGTGAATGCTATGTACTCCTCTGAGTTTTGTGGTAAGTCGTCATGGTTTCAGTTCAAATATTTGATCAGTCAGCAAGATGAAGGTTGAATATACATTGAAAGGTTTACTGTAGGTCATCAGAATGAAAAGCAGAGCAGTTATGCAATCATAAATGAAACGTTTAGGAAGTCGTTGTATAAATAGTTTTCTTATGCGCTGTAGCACAGCACCTGGGTATAAAATGGAGGAAGAAAAATTACCTCAGGTTTATTCTCACCAGAACAAGTAAGGAAACATTATTGCTGCTTTAAAAGCACATTTAAATATGTACTATTCATGTCTGAAGTGCCTAAAGCTTTTGCTGTCTCTGTTACCAGACATGCCTTAAATTACAAAGTAAGATTGTATATATAGCACTCATAATCCTGTCTGTAAAGACTGTACACCCATTGTTTAGGTATGACTGTTCACATTCCATTGGCACTCAATTATGGGTGTGGGAGCTGTAAATAAATGTGGACTCACCAGTTTTACTTGTTTTGTTATAATAATCAATTATAGGTATTTTCCTGCTGAATTATACTAAAGAAACTGTTAAGCTTTTGTTCAAAAACAAATCCATTAGGTAACTGAGATGTGATTTTTTTTTGTATGCTTCTAAGACCATCAGTGTCTAACTTTATTTCTTTAAACAAAGTATCTATGCAAAAATCCATATTAGAACCTTCTCTTGTGTATAGTTTTGTAGTTTTTAATGTGAGTAAATCCTTGAACCAAATTATTTTTATTGCTTTAAGGCTCAGGTTTATTTATTACTCAGTATAAATAGGAAGTCACAAAGTTTGATGTAGAACTATAATGTTACCCTTTACAAGAACATTTATATGGTTGTGATATTTTAATAAATAAATAAAAGCATAATTTTGCAATTGGTTTTCTTGTTCTTTATAGTTAAATAAATGAATCTGTCACCAATTGTGTCTTGCATTTGCTTAAAATTCGGAATGGAGCTTCCTGGATAACTATCAATCCCAGTGGTGTAACCATAAGAGTTTAGTTTAATATTTTTATAGGATTAAATAAGGACATAAAGATTTCAATTTACCCTCCATTTTCTCTTGTGAATTATTCAGTGCTAAAGAGTCTGTGCTCATTGAGAAGTTAAAGATATAATAATTCAAAATTAGTTGCATTAAATGAGTCAGGCATACCCAGTAAAAGAGCAAAACTGTTTCAGCTGTATTGTATATATATTAACTTTGTCTCTGTGTTGCCCTGCAACAGACTAGCGGCCTGTCCAGGGTGAACCCCGCCTCTCGCCTGAAATGTCTCGCTGCAGATAACAACAAGGATAGAGACAAGGATGTACAGAAAATGGATGGATGTGTTTTAATTATATGTAACTTTTCCTTTATACAGTCTTTTTTTTAATAGACCTCCTGCCCAATTTCCTTTCATCTGGGAGTTTCTTAAGGTCTTGCCAAAATAGAGATAAATCAGAAGAATAAATGATAATCTTAAAATAATCATCTAAAGTCTTAATTCATTTATTAATCAGTTTGCTCTGTGGATGGTGGTGCTGTGATATGTGGGACACTGAGAGAAGACAGACCATTTTTTTTTTAAATCAGTCGGACGTTTCAAGGTAAGCCAGATTCCTTCCTTCTGAAAATGGATTAAACTGCCACTGAAATCATTACTTTTAATTTGTTCTTCTAAAAAAACATCAATGTGTTTAGACACTGATTGTTGTTTACGCCAGTTCTCTTTAAACACTTTTCTTATCTCATTCAGATAAGAGACAATCCCGTCAGGCAAAACAAAATACCAGATATTGATGTGAGTGGGGATCCCTTGATGATGATCCCATGACTCTCCTTTCTGATGCTTTTGTCGATATTGATGCTGGTGTTTTTGTGGGTCAGTGGATGAGATTTAAGAGTGCAGGAACTCTAGGTTTGAGGCTTGTCTTCATCACCATCCTCTTCCTCCACTGCAGGCCTCCTCTTGGCATGTTTGGGTGTCCATTTCAGCATCTATTTTTGCTCCACCTTCTTCACTTACATGGTTTGAAATCATAAGTTGTATAAATAAGTGCTGTACTGATCAGGCAAAACATTATGACCGTGGACAGGTGGAGTGAAATGGTCTCTTATGTTATTGAGTGGAATCTAATAGGCAGAAAGAAAACCATTTGTCAAAAAAAGCCATTATTGAATATGTTACAAGAAGGAGAGATGGAGAGAAAGCTGATCTGGCAAATTGATACAGTGACTGGATTGATAGGTTTTGTGTTAATCCATATAGAAAAGCATGTAATTCAGCTGACAATCAAAAAGTCTGCTATGATATATTCCACTGATTTGAATTTTCAACAAACTCTTTTGACATCTTTTTATTAAAGGTTAGTCAACTACTACCAGTAACTTCACTAATCTCAAAATATCTAAAAAAAAATTGTTTAACAGATCTGCTAGTAACGACCCATTTTCAGAAGTGACAGCAGCCCTCAGGGGCCCCATGGACTCTGCGCCTCAATGAGTCTGGAATAATGTGGCAACAAAAGGGGGGAGAGCATATTACTTGGCAGGTGGTCATAATGTTATGCCTGATTGGTGTCTATTTTATGAGTTAGTATGTGAGGCTCAGACTGTGTTAATGAATGTTGTTTTGCCGTTTTCCATATGATTAGGAACCTTTCAAAAGTGAGAAGATTTTTTGCCAGATGAAAGTTATATTTTATCTTTGGACACTTCTTGACATTAAGTATTGACATATATCAATTATTATATTGTTGGTTGATGTTGAGTGTCTGTTTCACGTTGAGGTATTGAACATACAATTTCTTGAGTCTAGATGACCACTAGATGGCACTAAAGTCTAGGAAAGGGTTTAGGATATATTGAAGCAACCTTAACCAGGTTTTACATTTTGAGGATTTACATTTCTCGAAATCTTCATCTGCATGATTTTAGAAAATCATTTGCACATTTACTTGACCTTTTTGGTCCATTGTTACTTTATATTTTGCTTCCGTTTTGTTTTTCCCTCTTCAAGTCTAATATTAAATCAAAAAGAGGAAACCCAGACAGCATGATGAAATGACTAAAAGCCCCTAATCTCAGCTGTCCAACATTGCTACTATTTTCCAATAAAAATGTAAGTCAAGGCTGAAGGAGACTGAGACTGAAAGCACACAAATTCTGGACTTTATCTGTCTCACAGCAGAAAAGTCATTTGTTTCTTGGGTATTGAAAAAGCAATGAATTAATTAGAATATTTTTAAGCAGAAAAAACAACTGAACTCCTGAAGATTCACTTTAAATCTGTTAAAAAACCAAGCAGTGAAAAAAAAAAATCCCAGTTGTCTGTGGCGAAGTGAGAATTGCAAAGATGATTATGGGCTCTTTCACGGCTTGATGCGTCTCACAAATGACATTTACTGTGGAATGGCACTTGTCTTGATTGATGCACCGTGGAAACTCCCAAATCAGAAGCAGAAAGTTAATATATGCTCACTTCAGTCTGTACATATCTTCCTATCACCAGTTCCCAATACAACTCTCACTAATAACACCTGGAGCAAAATTATTCCCTGAAAGTGGAGAAGGTTCCTGAATCTTCTCTGGAGGGAAAAATCTGATTTATGAGACCCAAGTTATTCAGACTCCTATAATCTGATTTTGTATATGTTTTTTCTCTGCATGAGAATTAACATTTTCATTTATCAAAAACACAAGACTGTAGAAGCTGGAGCTTGGAGAAACTTTTGACAAAAGGTTAGCACAATTCTTCCTTCTTCATTTTCAACTATCTGCTTTTGCTGTAAATGACTAAAGACTCCCTCTATGTTTTTGTTTTTCCACATAGAGAAGATGGCAGGGTTACAGATAGGCACTTTTCTCCTGGTGAAATACTGTTTCAACTTGTCAAATTCTTAATGTTCTGTGAAAAGGGCATTTCTCCATTTCACTGAGGCTCAACAAGAACAGCCAGCAGGTATCTTATGTTTGCTGTCAAAAACAGTTTTATAACCACCTTATGCATCAGTTTGTTACATTATTCCCCGTCTTAATGCCATAATGTTCTTTCCAGATGAAGCTCAGAGATCTGCAAAATCCATGTTTCCAACACAAGAAAAAAACAAAAATCAAATAAAAAATGAAGAAACTAGATTTCTGGTGGAAGTCTTTGCCTCACAATTTTCCAATTAAAAGACGTTAATAATAACAGTCCTCTTACAACAGCCCATAGAGTTTTTCACCAAAACAAAAGGTAAGTTCGTAGAATCTCAAAATGTAACAAAAACATACGCGTTCAAAACTTCTGCAATAATTTGTTGATTATTTTCCACTATGTTTTCTCTGAGTAAAGCTCAAACATATTTACTCCTTCTCTTGATTTCTTCTGAATTATTTGCAAATGCTGCCATTAAGTTTGCGGGATTTTTTTGCGTCCTTTTTCTTCCCATAGCAGATACATCTGGCCGAGTGGTTTTGTGTTTAGCTCTGTCTGTTTCCTGAACAGAGCCATTGAACAAGCTATTGCTGCTTCTAATGATGCACAGTCTTTGTTTATTTTTTCTACAAAGTACCTCTGGCTCTGGGTGTTTTCTTGTAGCTGAGTCTTTTTCCTGTATGGAGGTAATGACTGCTTGACTTTTACAGAAAAAAAAAACCTAGAACAAAACTAAGACAATAAACTAGGGGACAAAATTCTGGTATTAACCATACTCTTCATTTTATTTTATTTTTCACCTAATTTTTCCTAGTTTATTATAATTATTGTTGGTTTATGCAATAATTAGAACTCAACGGTCCTAATTAGTCTCAGTAGTCAAATAATCGGGCTATAGTATTCTTACAACAGGGATTATCTGTTTATTGTTTTATTTTCTCAATGGTGCTATTGACTTTGCCATTGCTGCCTCTAGTTATGTCTGCTCTTACTCTTTTATTTTTTCTTTGTCTACCATTTCCTTGCTTTGCCTCTTGCCTATTCCTATCACAGCTCACAGACCGGAGTCATCAGGGTACTTTTGTGAGTGATGATTGGATTCAGAGTTCTGATGCAAGTCTGAGGAGCTCAGAGTGAAGAGAAACAGTAAAGGTACAGGTCCCTGTGGTGCACCGTGGCTGTTTACCACCCACTCACTCCCATTCATCCAGGTACAATAGTGTTCTGACTGTCAGATAGTCAATAATCTAGGCCGTTGTGGAGGCATGCGCCGGTATTTTCAGGACTTGTCTCACAGCAAGGCTGGCTGAATTGCGTTAAAAGCCCCAGAGAAATCAAAGAACATGGTCCTTACAGAGCAGCCTGCTCTGTGTGGATGAGAAAGGGCTCACTAAGGCAGGTAGACAGTAATATGGCAGAGTTTGTTTTATAGAGTGAGGCTGTGGAGAAGTGATAGGGAATCCATGGAGGGGATGAGAGGCTGGGTGCAGGTGAGAAGAACTTAGAGTACTCCTCTGAACTTCATGTAATGAAAATGTAATTTGGTTCATTAACTCTATTAAGGTTTAAGTTAAGTCGAGCCTTATTCCCACTCTCCCTAAAGTCTTAACCCTGGAAAACACATCCTTCACACTGCTTTGCTGGTCTTAATTGTTTTTCTTTTTTGCTATGAAGATACTCCACAGATCAATATCTTCAGTTATTTATTACTCACTTAGACATGTTTTCCTTTGTTTTTGTGGTTACAATGAGTACAAAGGAGAAAAAATGTATTATGGTCAAAAGCCATGTGGTCAACCATGTAATTAAAGGTATCATACTTGGTAGACCTTCAAATATAAAAGCTATAAATAACCAAGTTGTTTTTAAGTACATTTTCAGATCAGTGATTTTTTTTGTTTTTGT